TAAAAATATTTGGGTGTGTGGGCATGTTTGAAATCTTTCACTCTCTCTGAGAAAGGGTGGGGTTTGTACATCATCCAGTTTAATTTCTGAAATGAAAATATTGTATTCTTCCTTGCCCCAGCATCCCCAAAACCCTATCCCAGCCCTTTTCCAGAGGCTGGAGAGAAATTGCGCTGTGTGGGGAAAAGCCCAACACACCAAAGGTTTTTGTCACAAAAGTCCTCCTGGCAGGTGGCAGCAGGTGTTGGCAAGGTATTGGAGAGTCACAATAATCCCTTGGAGCTCCTTAAAGGGTTAACTGAAACTTGAGCTTTGATTTCTGCATTTGTACTGATTTTCACACCTGCAGGGTTTCTCTGGTTGTCCCCAGGGGTGTGGAGTTTGGGGCCCATAGTGTGGCCCAGCAGCAAGCTCTGCTGGCCCCAAAAATAAAAATAATTCAACAAAAAATATTAAAAAATGTAATATAAACATATTAAAATACAATATAATATTTTATAAAATATTGTATTTTATACAAGATTTTAATAAATATTATATAAATAATATTATATTTAATAATATTGTAATATTACATAAAATAATTAAACAAAACCCAGCATTACTGGGGTTTCACCATTTGTGTTTTCCTTCTAAGTCAGAGGAGCTGGCATTAAATTTATTAAAACATGATAGTCACAATTAAACAGCATTGACATGATGAGGCTGGAAGCACCATGGCCTGCTCACATTGGAAGAAACAAAGTGACATGCTGGGAAAAGCCTTCCTGCTTTAAAATCCTAACACTTTTTACAAAAAATCCTGAATTTTCTTTTGCTAAGTGTCAGCTTTATTAGCATCCCCTTACACTTCATTAAAACTTGTTAGCAGGGATGCCCTTGGCGTTTTGCAGCTGGGGTAGGGGCTGCTGTCCCAGGGTACTGGGCTCCCAAATCTGCTTTGGATGCTGCTCAGGCCAGCAAATCAGGATTTAGGGCATTGGTGGGGATTGATGATTGTCAGAAATGGTGTCTCATTTCTGCCCCCAGGGCTGAGCACCATGAGCAGCCGTGGGACACCAGGATCCTGCTGCCTTGCATTGCCTGTGGTGGAGCATCTTGGAGGAGGCATCTCCTCCGTTCCCCTTCGCACCGGGAGGACTTCAAAGGCCTTTGCTAAACTTCAAAGGATGCCTTTTGAAGTTGCTAAAAGTGCTCAAAAAGACTTCTCTCTCTCTCTCTCTCGCTGCAAGGGTGTTCAGGGAGATGTCCCTGGTGGGGTTGGCTCTTTGTGTTCCCCGTGATGGGGACAAAAACGGCGCCGTTTCTGCAGAAGGTGCACAATGGTTTTGTCCTAAATGCATGCAGCACCCAAGGCCTCAGGCCTGGCCACCTCCAAGGATGAAAATCAGCCTGTCAGAGCTTTTTTAACACTGGCAGAGCCTTATTTCTTCTCCTTTTCCTCCAGCCCTCATGTTTTGTTCATACAGCAAGCCCAGATGGCAAAAGTCTTTCCTGTAGGATAGAAAAAAGTCTTTATAGGATGCAGGTGCAAAACATGAGCTTTTCCTTCATGATGTCAGGACAAATCCAATGAAAATCAAGTCCAAATTTGTGATATGTATTTGGCATCAGCCCATTCATGCTCCTCCAAGGCATGAACATTAATTCTTTATCTTAAATAACCTTAATATTTCACCTGCTGCTGTGGTGGAAGAGTTTTGGACTCAGGCCCTTCTGAGCAGATCAGGTCTCTACATCTCTTGGCGGGACCTGCACTCGCCTGAGAAGTCAAGAGGCCCCTTGACCTTTTGTCTCTCGTCAAATTTTCCACATTTGGAGGTTTCTGCTGTGTTTTGCCCTGAAATGTTCCAGTTGTTTCCAGATCTCTGCTTCAGGTTTCCAGGAATGCAAGCTTCCCCCTGTAACTCCTTTGGGCCCACGTTCTTGGGGGAGATAATGGACACCTGCCCTGAAGGCACAAAACTGCACCTGTTGTTCTTGCCAGGGGTTGGGATGGAGTTAAAACCAGGGGAAACTGTTCTCATGGATCTCCTGTCTGGCCTCACCACACCAGACACGGCTCTCTGCTGGTGATGTGTAGCAGAGATGCATCCCTGGGGTGTGTGGTGGGGACCTGAGGTTCTGTGCTGGTTGGGAGCTATCTCAGGTGTATATTGGGCAGCTGAGGAGCTCTTTGGAGGTTCTGTGCAGGTATCTCAGGTGTATATGGGGAATCTGAGGAGCTCCTTGGAGGTTCTGTGCTTGTTGGGAGGTATCTCAGGTGTATTTTGGGCAGCTGAGAAGCTCTCCAGAGGTTCTGTGCAGGTACTTCAGGTGTATTTTGGGCAGCTGAGGAGCTCTCCAGAGGTTCTGTGCTTGTTGGGAGGTATCTCAGGTGTATTTTGAGCAGCTGAGGAACTCTTTGGGGGTTCTGTGCAGGTATCTCAGGTGCATCTGGGGAATCTGAGGAGCTCTTTGGAGGTTCTGTGCAGGTTGGGAGGCATCTCAGGTGTTTGTTGTATCAGGTGTATATTATATTGTATCTGAGGAGCTCTCCAGAGGTTCTGTGCAGGTATCTCAGGTGTACTTTGGGCATCTGAGGAGCTCTTTGGAGGTGATGTGGTGGCATATATCAGATGTACATCCAAACCATCAGTTCAGAAGGTGGAGGTGTGCAAACATCTGCCTGTGTTAGACATTTATCAGCAATCTGAGGAGCTCTGAATGGG